TACGTGCCCGGCATGCATCGACAACGTCCGAAAGGACAGTCCTAGCCATAACAGAGACCCTACGCAGTGCAAATATCATGACTCCATCTCTGTATATTGGCCATGTACCACCTTGATACCGAACCTGGTAAATGTCGTTTTGCTGAACCATTTAAACTACCAGACGACCACGACCCCGAAGGCAAAGCCGTGCCAGCTTGGTGGAAACCCTTACCTAAACCTGGTGAGGGCCAAGCTTCAGCTTCAGGTGGCCGCCAAGGCGCACACGCCAGGCCACCGCGACCACGATCCTTCGGTAACGTCGATCCGACATCTGGTACCAGCAGCTACGACCTGCTACGAGACGCCCCCGAGCGTGGAAACACGCCTTCTGCGTCTTCTAGCGACACGCCACAGGTAGCGGCCCGCCGCGGACGTCTACAAGGCGTACCACCACCTCCAGACGCAGTCAACACAGGGGATCAACTACGGAGAGCTACAAGGAACCCTCTTGCCTCCACCGGCTCTGGGGCTCCACGACTACCCGACTGGACGAGATTTGACATCCAACACAGTCTACAGAGTCTCCGTAGTCACGAACCCCATGTGTGAAAAAGGAACTCCGAAAACTGCATCTGCGATGGTATCATGCGAAGGAGCCAAAGATGAGGCTAATCCTCGAAAAGGTGGGGCTTGATAACGTTCGACTGAACATGATCAAGGAAATCTGCGATACCTGTCGGGAATGTAGAGCATGGGAACGTCCAGGAAACTCAACATTACCATCGGTAAGCCTCCCTGGTAACTGGCTCGATGAAGGGGAAATGGACCTCATGTTTTACAAGAAACGGACCATATTTCATATTATGGATCGTTGTATTCGCCTGGCAGCAGGCCTAGAGATTTCCGACAGAGAACGTGACGCTATCATCGACGCCTACCACTATTGCTGGATTGCCTATCACGGACCCTTCAAAGTTTTATACTCAGACGGAGAAGGCGCCCTGAATAACGATGCCGCTAAAACCATGATGGCCAATAAGGGCACGGAACTTCGTATCCGTGCACCTGGCCAACACGCGACTTCAATTGAGTCACGAAACGGCATTCTCAGAGGCGTCCTCCACATGATTGAGGAAGAATTGAATAGACACAACATCCCTGTTGTATTCACTAGAGTATTGGCGGAAGGCATCTTCGTTACTAATGCGTTTACGTTTTATAACGGAGTATCGCCATATCAGGCACACACAGGACGTCAGCCCTCCTTCCTTCCTGATCTCGATACCCTTGACTTTCCCAAGGGACCCGAGACTTCAGGACACGAACGAGAACGTCGTGTAAGGGAAGTCAGCCTCGAAGCCATAACTCAGGCTACTGCTGTAGCCAAGACAAATCGGGCTCTTAGGGCTAAGACGACTCCTGATGGTGCTCGCCTCTACTCATCAGGGGATTTGGTCGACTACCACCGACCTACTGCCACCAAGGACGACCATGGAGGCTGGAACGGCCCATTCCCGGTGATCCGAAACGTGCCTGAAAGAGGACATATTGTTGTCAAGGCAGGATCTCGTGAGGTAATTGTGATGTATCCTGATGCTCGTCACACACTATACATCGAATGTCTCCTCACACGGGAACTTGGCATGGATAATATGGCCATGCAAACCGTCCTTGCTTATGTGGCACACCTCAGCGCAGGGAAACCTGCCAAAGTTTTCGGGTATATCCCCGATTACAAGGGAAACCTTAATCTGTCAGACGACAGCAAGTTTCACCCGCGCGTACACTTAGCACTACAGTATCTCGTACGAAATTACTTCCGAGTAGAACATGTAGTAGCAGTTCGATTGGCTAAGAGTGTGTCAAGTCTACCTGCAGTAAAGTACGCCACCGGGTCTACGCTGATCCACTACGACAGCGACATCAGCCCGGCGTTTCACTATTACGAATGTGTGGGCACTGGCTTAAACATTTCTCAGATCACTGGTGGCACTCACTCCAGACTCATTCAATGCTTGACTTCACGTGTTCCTTCCTTAGGATTCCACGACGATTTGGCTAAATATCAGCATCCAAGCAACACGTCTGGAGAACACGAGCTGCCTGGAAACAGGCCTTCTCCAGACACACCAGACGCTTCATCGCCGAGCGAAGGCCGTCTGTCGACAATCTACGAGGAAAATGAGGAACACAATATCGAAGCTATGATGCTGGAAGAGTGGTACGACGAGCTACGTATGGACCTTCATCCTACGACGATTACCGATGATTATCTTTATTGCGTCCCAACAACTATGCTGCCCGACCAATGTGTTTTGGTTTCAGCATTTGTGGACGAAGATGATATTACATCATCAGATATGCTCGGAGACGAGCCGAAATCATGTGAGTCCTGTCTAGTATCTCTTTGTTCAAACACAACCGACGAGAGCTACTCTCTAGACAGTGATGAATACGGTCCTTACGTTGAACTATGCTTTACATCAGAAATGTCAAAAATAGTGTTGGATCAGACTCAACTTGCACAGCTCGATACCGATATGGTCGCAACGATGAGAGTGTCTGTATCATCTGCTGCTAAATGTGCTGTGGTTGTCAAAGAAGATGATCTACTGACCAAAGCTGACATAGCAGCACATCCAAAGGAGGTTAGTGAAGCCTTACATACTGAGCTCAAAATATGGATTGATAACCGATGCTTTGAGATGTATGATTTATCCAAAGCTTCCAACATCGTGACATCCAGATGCGTATACAAGTGGAAGTTCGTAAAGATGGGTACCGAGAACGTTAAAACCATTCGTCTCAGACTGGTCCTTCGTGGATTTATGGATACTGAGGCTTTAAACGTGGAAACATTCTCGGGAACCGCCCGAAGGCAGTCCCAACGACTCCTGGCAAGTGAAGCGGCATGTCATCCAGAGTGGATCCTAGCATCCATGGATATCGATAAGGCGTTCCTAAAAGGTTTGACCTATGAGGAACTTGCCCATGCCACCGGCGAGGAAACTCGCATGGTCTGCTTTACTCTTCCACCAGGAAGCGCTCAGGTACTTCGTACCTTACCCGGCTTCTCATCCTACGACGAAAGTCGACGCTGTCTTAGATGCCTCAAACCAGGAACGGGTACTAAGGACGCTCCAAGAGCGTTCTCTCTCAAACTTCGTACGACCACACGAGCTATAGGACTTACACCGACCAGCTACGATCCTGAATTTGAATTCAGCCAAGACCTTCTGACGGCAAAACATGTCGATGATATTAACATGACAGGTCTAGAGAAACATATAGACGACTATGTACAACGTGTCGAAAAGGTGTTTGGCAAATGCAAGCTCAACAAGCACACATATACGAACTGCGCCGTTCGCTACACTAAGAATGATCAGGGAGATGCGATCATGGACCAGGACGAGTATATCAAACAACTACGTCCTATCACACACCCAGAACTTACAGGAGCGGCGGCCGACGCCAAAGCCACGAAACTCATTACCGACATGTTCGTCAGCCTGCGAGGAGCCCTCGCCTATGCCCTTCTTACCCAAATCTGGCTTATGGTATATGTGGTCTCTCTTCAGAAAATTCAAGAGCCCACCAATTTGCAAGTCAGACGTTTGAATGCTGTGGCGCGAAAGCTGATCAGCAGTCCGAAACGTATCACCTTCCCTCGGATGAAGCCGACGAATGAAGTTGACATCCATAGCGATTCGGGGTATCGGAAGCTTACCGGGTAGGAGGATGACGAGACCAAGGGCTACGGCGGGGAGGAGGATGACGAGACCAAGGGCTACGGCATACGCGGGGCCAACGTACTACGGCGAGGAAACTCGCCCCAAGGCAAGTCCGTCGTTCACCTTTGTGACGGACTATGCCAATCACACCGATTACAGGTGAGGTCCAGTTATGCTGCGGAGGCACTTGCAGCCGCACATAACCTCGATGAGTGTTACCCTACGCTCATTACCCTCCACGAGCTTAAGGCAGGCGCTTTGACTCCACGACAACTACGAGACATGCGTGAAGTTGGAGGCCTTGCTATCAAAGTCTCTCTTACCATAGACGCCGAGTCCGTCTGCAAATCTTTATCAAGCAGGGATCTCAAAATACCTACAGAACGGACTCTGCTTGGACATACCAGTTGGATACGTGAGCTCATGGATATAGGTATAGTACATAACGTGCAATGGTGTGATACTAGGGATATGACCGCAGATGGGCATACAAAGGGAAGCATCGATCGGGAGCTGCTTCTGGAAGTGATGTCAGGCACTCAGTCATTCAAGTATGACGTGAAGCAGTTTGTTCCCTTTCGGGGTCCCGAGGACAGAGACAAACCCTAGTCTAAT